GTTTTTAATGACGCCCCATATCACAATCTGGATTTTCAAATACGGTAATTTGCATGCATAAATTATAGACTATAAAAAAACATATAATAATGAGTGATTAAGCCCAATATTGCTTAAAACCACCGTATTTGCGAATATAATTATGGTCCCACCGTATCTGCAGAATGGCAGGGGAAGAAGCAGAGGAAATTACCACCAAAACCCTCAATCTCTTTCCCGTAAAATGTTGTTAATATTATGGAAAGTATTAGTAGGGGCGTAATGATAGTTATAGGGAGGCTTAGCCTGCGCAGCAACAGAGAAAATATCTCTAGTCTATCGACGCGGTTCACCATGAACCACTCATTTCTTTCCCGCCTGAATATCGCATTAAATGCTGAGATACGTCCTAGATTACATTGACCCTTGCGCCATATCGCTGTATCCTCATATGTATAGATAATCTTAGGCATTGCGTCGCTATATAATGTATTAGCAGTCCAGTCAGAGAAAACGCCATTGTTAGACCTGCAAACAAAAAGAGAGACAAAAAAAGTTGTTGGTGAGATCTAACAAAAACAGCAAGTTCAGTTCGCGTGACCAAAGAAACAAGGTATATTTACGCCAACTTCCTTATCTTCAAATGGATGCTTAAATGCAGTCATACCTCGTACAGTTATTAATGCATGTGAAGAACATTTATGACGAGATTGTCTTCTGGGTTTCGTGTTCATTAATGACCGTGTACATTTATTATATTTCAGGTGGAAATGGGTTTAATGGTGAAGTATGTAAGAGGCGTGTGGAACAAATCTGCAGATGGTGATTGGGATTTTGAGGTGGAGACAACGGGGAGAGGGTACGGACTTTTGATTTCCGAACGAGAAACCTTTGAGTCACTCGACGGGATGATGAGAGCCCGTTACAGCCTCGGACCACACGACATGATGGCCATGACCTACCAGCCACCTCCAGGCATCTGTGTAGCTCCAGCTCGCAAGACTCCTCCTTTCGACATCATCAACAATGGAGACGTCCATCTCTTCATGGCTTTGCGAGTGGAGGTGGAGACACTGACCATTTGTGTGACCGTGGGGGCAGAAAATGTGGAGCGCTACCGCGCTGACCGACGTTCTATTGGTCACGTTGCCGGTCCACCTCCTGGATTTGAACGTCCAATTCTGGCAATACCGGGTAACCCTTTTGGTTACAACGATAATTTAATTAATACCGTTAAGCTTGCAATGAATGATGGTAAAACATTTGGTGGACTTGACGATGTTCACAATTTTTGGGAAGGCCTCATGGAGGGACCAACGGTGCAGATTGCTGAAAGTGTATTCCATAAGATCTTTACTGAGGAAGAGCAGCGTCTCATCATGGAGTTCCATAACGCCTACACCCACCGAGAGTCTGCAAGTCAACAACCCATCGCCCAAGAAGACAGCTTGACGAAGTCGTTGGCTGAAGAGTTCGACCAGATGCAACGTGAGGAGCGTCTCTCACATGGTCACCAGAACCCAGTACAGCCCCCAACGCATGTGACTCGCGCAGTAGGCAACCTCTCCCTAAGGACAACCATGGGTGGAGGTACCAGATAACTTTGATACTACAACAAATTATATAACTTTGAACATTGCATCTAACTTAATCGTTGTATTCGGTATATGGTGACGTAACGGTTAACTTTGTGGTTAAAGGGAATGGAGGGTCGCCGCTGTCGTCATCCTCAACAAGCAGTACCTCGAGTAACTTCCCTATAACCGATGACAAGGGCAAAGCCAAGATGCCAACCGAAGCTGCCGGAAGTCCATTTCTTGGGTTGACTATTGCTTGCGTCGGTGAGGGTAGCAACACGCCGAGTAAGCCGGTTCTTGTTTCAGACGATGACCTTTCTGACCACGATGGAGACTACATATGTGAGTAGCAGTTGTATAAACATCTTCATACATACGAGCTAACATTCATGTTAACTTAAAACTTTCTAAATTATCGTTTTCTCTTAGGTAATGGGGTCAACAAACCAGATCTTCTGTACGTGGGAATGGTGTTCGAAAACCAGAATGCTTTCAAGCTACACATGTCGCTCTACGCAATTGCTAATAAGTTTCACTATCACCACCGACGATCAACACCGAATCTTATGGTGTTAGAGTGTGTAGGACAAAACTGTCCATGGCGAATTTATGCCGCGAAGATGCAGGGCATCGAATGGTTCCAGATAAGGAAGGCTTGCCTGACACATAGCTGCACAGTGGACGAGCGTGGCCAATACCATAGGCAAGCCACCACAGCAGTCATTGGGGATATGGTGAGGAGCCGATATGCGGGAGGTTTGGTTGGACCACGGCCAAATGAATTGCGAGATATGATGCGAGATGAACACGACCTCCCAATTTCTTACTGGAAGGCATGGAGATCTAGAGAGATAGCAAGGGAAGGTAGTTTGGGTGCTGCTGGTACGTCTTACAGAGAACTTCCCAATTTCCTTCAGCGTCTGGTTATCTCAAATCCTGGAAGTCTTGTGTCTTTGGAAACAGAACACGACATTGGCTTCGGTCAACGATTTAAATATCTCTTCTTCGCCCTTGGAGCAAGTCTAAACGGGTTTCCATACATGCGCAAGGTTGTAGTTGTAGATGGGGCCCATCTGAAGGGTAAGTATGGGGGTTGTTTACTTACAGCTAGTTGTCAAGATGGCAACCACCAGCTGTACCCACTGGGGTTTGGAATAGTTGACGGAGAGAACGATAAGGCATGGACGTGGTTTTTCCAAAAGCTGGTGGAGGTGATCCCTGACAATGAAGATCTGGTATTCATATCTGACAGACATAATTCCATTTACGCAGCATTGCGTAAGGTAAATACGTTGCTTATCCAAAATTTTTATTGCTTCTCTAATAGATATGTCTGAACGCTAATTGTTATGTTACCGTCCATCAAACATGGTTTAGAACTCTAATATGATAGTTAGTTAACTACGACGGTGTTATCCAAAATTTTTATTGCTTCTCTAATAGATATGTTTGAACGATAATTGTTATGTTACCGTCCATCAAACATGATTTAGAACTCTAATATGATAGTTAGTTAACTACGTCGGTGTTATGCTACCGTACCTCCTACACGTTTTACACAGCTAATACGTTAGTTAGTTAACTACATACGGTGTTAACTAAGCCGAGCATTTTACGATGTAGGTTTACCCAAAGTCTTTCCACTGCGCCTGCGTGGTACATCTTCAGCGCAATGTGCGTTGCATTTTCAAAAAAAGACAGTTAAGCTACATGGTCTCCAAGGCAGCAAGGGCTTTCGTTCCTTCTGAATTTTATGAGTATTTCAATGAGATTCGATCCATGGACGAGGGATGTGCAAGTTACCTGACTTCAATCGGGTTTGAGCACTGGGCGAGATCCCATTTTCCAGGTGTTCGTTACAACCTCATGACCAGCAATGTGGCTGAATCCTTAAACAATGTCCTCGCAAGTGCCCGTGATTACCCTATCGTCCCTCTGGTGGATTGCATCCGAGCTACCCTGATGGGGTGGTTTACAAGGACAAGGTTGGCTGCTAACGACTGTGGTACCACACTAACACCCAAGGTGGAGGAGATCCTTTCGACCAACTTCGAAATGTCTACAGGATTTTCATTCCGGAGAATTAATGTAGATGAGTATGAGGTGAGGAACAAGGAAGGCGTCCCATTCCTGGTCAATCTCCAAACAAAGATCTGCAGCTGCAACGAGTTCCAAATGCTACGCATCCCTTGCCCACACGCTGTCGTTGCCGCCATCCGTACGGGTACCAGGGTTGATTCTTTGGTGGCTTTAGAGTACAGCACCACCTTTTGGAGAAACGCGTACGAGTGCAGCATCTACCCGGTGACAGCACCTACCCCACTTGTTGCCGTTGGAGACGACTTTTCAGGACTGAATTTGCTTCCGCCACGTACAAGGCGACCACCAGGTAGGCCGCGCAAGACACGTATCCGTTCCCGCGGAGAATATGGGGTAATTAGATAGTTAGTTTCTAATCTTTCTCTTATACCACTAACATTTTGATTTTGCACTTTGAAAACCAAATCAATAATTTGATGTAGGGTAACCAGCCAAGCCTCTTCCGAGTTTGTGGGCGCTGTGGTGGATTCGGTCACAACCGCGCCACATGCAAGAGGCCAATTTAGAGAAATAATGATGGAAGGTACAAGGAGAGAAGCAATGGAGTTGGTTTTTGTTTTGCTTCTGTGTTGATGGGGCCATATAAGTTAAGAACTTTTTTGTGTAATATTTCTGGACCCCTTTATTAATCCTTGTCAGTTTCATGTAAGATATTCCTGGGGTTGCCCCATCGTACTTGTTTATTTCTATGTTTGAATTCTATGTTCCCTAATTGCCGTTAGTGTTTACATCTGAACTTATCTTTTAAAAAATTGTTGTAAGCACGTACTCGCCATGTTGTAGGGATAGACTTCTGATGCCATAGTTTAAATCAGACAACAAACACTGAAATCAACGATGAGGTCTGCTATTCATATGTTTAGACCTGTTGTCAGATTATTTGGTAGTGTTAAACAATTGGTTTGTTCTCTAACTAAATTGATTAGCATTAACGCCAATACTAATGAGAATGTTTTCGTCCTAATGAAATGCATGTTAATTATCTGTTTAGTTCTGATAATGTTTTGTTTAGCTCTATAATAAAACTGTTTACTAACAACAAAATATTCACCGATAATGGTTTGGCACTAATTTACATATGTTATTAAAATGTTTAGACCTGCTAATATTTCTTTAGATTTGTTAATAACTTTGATGGACTTGTTACTGATTAGTTATCAGATAATCATAAAATTACACAACTACTGAAACAGTTGTGAGGATATCGTATTTTGCAAATTCATACACATGAAAATTATAACACACACCAATTTGAAAAACGACCATAAAGATAGAAAATGTGTACTGCAATTCCAAATAACAAGAAATAAGCTAAAAAATTTTTCCGGACAAACGTAGGAAACATCACAGTTGTCCTGCAAATTCCTCGAAGAATTTCACAGCCAATACCTGGCTCGCATTGACCACTTCTTCTGGGGTCATCAGCTTGCATCTCTCCACACCCCCAATACAATGCATCATCGCCAAAAGAGCAACAGATACTCCAGCATCAGTACGAATAGGGTTCTGTGGGATCCCTTTGGCTCTTTGGATCGACAACACCTTATATTCTATTGGATGTTTGTAACCCGTTAACTTTTTCAAGACCCACGGCAACATTTGTGCTAGAGGTGTAAGCTCTTTTTTAGTGGCCGCCTCTGTCCGAATTGAGGTGTTGCAGTCAATACTCCACATCACCCCACCCATAACGTCAACATAAATGGCTATCCAATGCTCCTTGTCCACATTTAAAGGCAGATACAATCTTTCAGGAGGTGGTTGTTCAGGTGTTTCTGGTTCCAGATATTCCATAACAGCATCGCCGAATGAAAACCGCTGTCTGTCTTTGGGTGCAAGCTTGGAGAACTTCCCCCAGCATTTCATGAGATGATAAACGAATTTTGTCTCCAGAAACTCCGTCTTGTTATGACTTGGCTCGGGATAGAGTCTGTTGTATACTGCACGGGCATAGAGTAAAAGAGCATCCATCATCTGCAACCAAAAGTCGGTTAGTTAAATATATGATGTAAAGAAGATTATATAGCTTTAACTTGGCGCCGGTTATAAATGGTACTTACCTTGGCCAACATCGGTTTTGTCCTCTCTCCGATTTCAATAACATCCCTACCAGTGACGCATGATCCATCCCCAAGGCTGATAACTCTGCGATCAAATTCTACAATCATCACCAGAACCCAGAAATAAAGTTACTAGCTATTATATCACTTACCGTTGAGGCTTGACTGTGGTAAGCAACCGTGCAAACTTCTCGAAATAAATCCTCTGCTCTTCGGGAGGACATAAAAATGGGTTGGAGCCAATGGATGATGCCAGCAGCCTAGTGTCAACATGGTAATCTGTATATGCCGTGTTCTGGATCCTAGCTCTCTTCCCTCTTCGGGGAGCCACGTTGAAATCATCAACAAAATCATTGCCACCATCGACTAAACCGCAATTGTCACCCGTCTCCCCACCCTGAATAAAAAAGCTAAAACTCTAAGACCGATACTACACACTAGATCCAGAGCAACTAAACCTATAACTTTAAGGTTACTGGATAATATTGTATTTAGCTGCCTAACATTTCTTTATCCAATTGTTGTGTGGTTGTTATCTAAAATTGTAACGCTTGTAACAGTGTTGATAATACGGGTAATGATATTGTTAACTCGGTATTATAAGTAATATCATATACGATCAATACCGGATTACTCGGCGGAACGTCGTTGCTGTCACCAACTTCTGAGCCCGACGCGTTCGATCCTTTTTTCTCCATTGCAGCACGCTCCATTGAATTGGCTTCGGCGGTGGCGAGAAACTCGTCCTGTTGGTCATCTCCCTATATACAAAAGCAAACCGACATAAGCCGTTTGTATTTTAAACAAGACGATGAAGTATTGAAGGTGATCATAATCAAACCGCTCCAGCAAGTGCATTCACCATCCCGATAGCATCAGCAATCACAACATTTGGGTTCTGGTCCACGTTTAACTGGGGGATGGTCGCACTAAAATCGCGTGAGCCTACGTTTGCGTTGACATGGATACCTCCTTGTCCGTTGTCTGACTTCTGCTTCCCGGCAGATTGTTTCCCGCTAACTGAAAGCGACTTATCCAAAAACCCAACAATGTTTGAAATCAGCTCTTTCTGCATCTCTTTTAAGTTAAGATCAAGGCTAGCCTTCAATTTTTCTTCAAACCCAGAAAAAACTTGGTCAAGAGCACCAATTTTCAATAACGCTTCAGACAACGACTGCTGAATATGTGCGAGTTGTTCCTTAACCAGATTGCAAGAGCCATCCTGGCTGGTACTACCAGAGATGCCTTTGTCTGCTGCAGGCACCCCGGATGCCTCCATTAGTTTCTCTTTCTCTTTCTTCTCTCGAATCTCCTTCCTCTCTGATCTCAACTTCATAAGTTCGGCTTGAGTCATCCCACCCTTGAACATTTCCTTTCTGAATTGAAAACCTTCACCTATAAGCTGCACCACATAATTTATTTTGGGATCGTCCTCGTCATCAGACCAATCAAAATCCACATTCTCCATGGGTATATTGGGGTCGTCTGGAATAATACTGAAGACATCAGCCTGTATAAGAGAAAATATTATTCGATTAACTTAAAGATTAGATTCTAACAAAACTGTTAGATATCATATATAAAATGTTACCGGTTACTTACTTTGCATTCTTCGTCTACCTCCCTCGCATGACCTGGACTGAGTCCAAGTTTGGGAACCTCCGATCTGGAAGTTGTCTTGGGTGTAATCCGATCTGGTTCCATCGTTGTGTCCTGTTCTACCAAGCCCTCACCACCTCCTCCTGATTGAACGGCATCGTCAGTGTCACCTTCTTCATCTTCACCACCTTCGGATCCCGATGAATCGGAAGATTCATTGACTTGGACAACCTCCGTCAGCGCCGGTATGGCTTCCACCAGTATTAACTGAATGGCATGAAAAAAAACCTTTAACTGCGACGGTGCTTTGTGCAAGTGCAACCTCGTCTTTGGCTTTTATGCTAGCAATTAGCATCTCGAATCCAAGTCTTCCCCATGGATATGAGAAGAACTCTTCCAGATCTCTGATTAACTCGACATGGTCGTAAACGATTTTAGAACGGTGGTTGGTAGGACAGAGGACGGCGCCGGTAATAGCGAGGCATGCGTACTTCAAACGAGTTGTCCGGTCGACGACGGTTCTCTTCTTCAGCATCTTCGTTGCCAAATCAACACTGCATACTTTGAGATTGCCAAACAAATCAGGCCAATAGGGTTTCTCTTTCACCGGATTTCGTTTTTTCTTCTTCAGCTTCTTCGGATACCTTCCGCAGGGCAGTCCGGTGACAATTGCAAACTCGCGCAGAGAAACCCTAATTGGGCGGCCAACAAACAGAATCCATACCTCGTGCTTCTTGTTAACTTTGAGTAGCCTGGTAATGATGAAATGCCCGAAACTCCCGGACAACGACGGTTTCTCCGCAGTGGCGATTAGCTTCCCAAACGGCGAACTTCGTAGATAATTTCTTTCGTCCTCATCGAGAGCGTCAAGAATGTTACTAATGGTCTTCGCTTTATGATAGGAATTCACTCTCTCGCCGGTGGGTTCTTCGCCGGCGGCGAAAATTCTGGACGGGAGATCTTGCAACGCCATTAGTATAGCAGTTTCAATTGGGGCAAAAACTGTCTATATTGGAGAAAGTTACGAAGACGGTTTTAAGAAGAAATTTTGAATTTTAAAAATACTCTTTTCCAAATTCAAAATATCATCATCACACTGTGGGCGTAGGGGTTCATGCGCCTGTAATCTATAACCGCTATCTTTCATAGAGTTATAGGGATATTTTTGTATTAATGAAAATATGAAAGTAGGCGTATAGTGTATAGAGTTATGTTTGCAAATACGGTCGTATTCTGCGTTACAGTGTGCAAATGTTTTATAATATATTTAGATGATGGCTTAGAGTTCCCATGTCCTTTAACAAGTAAAATAATCTTTAATTATGTGTGCAAAACACAAAATAATGGTAACTCGTTAAATGATGGAATTGAAAAATTTGGAACCAATCGCAAAAATGCAAGAATTTAAAATTCAATTATATCCTCTTTCCATAATTAAATTGATTGTTACTTTATTTTTGTTATAAGATTATATAACACTTTTTATATATCTACGATTCCAGAATATTATCGATCAGATCAACCAACCCATATTTTTTTCATTAAGGTGATTATTTATAATACAGTGACTTTAACTTGAAATTTACAGATTGTTAAACATCTATGTTACAAAAAGCAAACCTTTTCAAGGGAAAAAGGAAAAAAATAAAGGAAATGAAAAAGAAAAACAGACAGAAATAAAAAAAAATATATTTTAAAAAACATGACCCAGAAATTTACAAAAATAAACTATATAGTTTATTTTAGAAATGAATTTGCTAGAAATTCGTCATTTTGGTCAAAATTTGGTCCATAGGAAAAACAGTGAAGCGAGGGAGAATTCGGATTTCGAAATGGTGGTGTATGACCGAAAAACCCTTAGCGACAATCTCTGTAATTTAGGCAGTAATTAAAAAATTATTTAATTAAGATATTGTACAGATATTATCTACAAACTTAGACGTCTATAGCGGTTCATAGGTCTGCGAATAGGTTCCTGGTGTCCACAGAAAATCTTCTCTCCCGAAGCTACGCATTTAATGCCAAATCTAAGAGATTTCGTATATTTATGTGGCATGTCATGGGATGTATGTATGTATGTGTATGTTATTAGGGTTTTTTACCCTCTATATAAATAGGTATCGTCCCCAATTTCCCTTTTATCAGCCACCTCCGAAAAAGAACACACAGATATCCTCAAGTTAAAGTTGTCTTCTAGTTGAATAAGTCAAGAAAGATACTACCGTTTCTTCCGTTAAAGGTAAGCCGACAATAAACTCAGATGTCTTCAATATATTCCTTTTGTAACCTAGTAAATACCACTCCGGAGCAATAAAGTCTGAAATCTGTCGTTTTACAACATTAAATACTTCCATAAATGTTGATTTCGCTGTAAAGTTACCGAGAAATTATATATTGATGAGTAGATGTAATATTTTTTTTTGGTTTATTTGCTAGATGGTTGGAAGTTTGGTTATGCTTGTCCGTGGGTCGTGGGAAAGATCGGAAGTCGGTGCTTGGAGTTTTAAGGTCGACAGCGAAGGTGAAAGCTTCTGCATGATGGTCTCGGAGAACGCGAGCTTCGACGGGCTTATGAACAGTATTAGGGTGCGATGCAATGTTGACGCCGCCACAGAGGTTGCTTTGAGCTACCAATTCCCTGACTGGATGTTGGTACCCACCGGACCTCCAACTCCGCCGATAGATGTGCTGAACAACGCAGACGTGGGGGTTTTCATGGCTGTGCGCATGGAGGTTCCCGAACTACCGATGTGTGTGACCGTAGGAAATGATGCCGTTAACCGTTACAAGTTTCAGAAACGTGCTACGTACGACGTTGGAGGAACATCTAATCCGGTATCTGTGCAACCGTTACCAATCCAGTTTGGGAGTTTCGACTACCGTGGTAAGATTCACTGGTAAATGCTAATAAAGATTTTTTCATAGTGTATAACAAAATAGGTAACTTAAAATTGTGTATGTAGGGTTCTTTTCACGAGATGTGATTCGGTGCAGCCAGAGTGTGTTGGAAGAGGTATGCACGTCAGATGAGCTAGAACTCTTACTAAAGAAGTCGACGGAACTGGAAGCACAGCTCATGGCTGCCCATCAGCAATCCACAACGAACCAAGTTGTCCAGCTGAGTGACAACCAGTCTTCGGCGGGATCCAGCAACAATCCCGGCAATGGAGATGGACAACACGAAGAAATCGTAAGGCTTACTGATGAAGAGGACACCAACATGGGTCCAGCGAGTTTTGACAATGCACTGGCCAATCTAGCCTTAATGACCCCAGTGAAAGGTACGGTTAAGAGAATAGGCTAGGAAATTTAGTTAAAGCTATAACATTTACCGGTGACTCATGCAATGCAGTTGTTGGAAGAGGAGAAGTTGGTGCCGTGACGCCACACACTCTGACGTTTAGTGAAGATAAAGGGAAAAGGAAGGCAAAAGAGAACACCTCAGAGAGTGGGTCTCATCTGGCTTTGACGTTAGCCTGTCCATCAGGATCGGAGAACAATGACCCCATAGCTGAAGACACCGACGAGGAAGATATGATAGGCGATGTTTTTGTCGGTAAGAAATTTGATAACGGGTATTTATAATAATAACGTCGTAATCGAATGTTGAATATGTAAATCGCATGGTAACATTTGGTGTTAACAAGCAGGGGACGGATTAAGCAGGAACGACGAGGTGTATGTGGGTATGATGTTTAAAAACAGGGAAGCTTTCAAGCTCCACATGGCTATGTACGCATTGCACCACAAGTTTCGGTTCACCCACAAGAAGTCTACACCAACTGTTATGGTGTTGGAGTGTGTTGGCAAAAGCTGTACATGGAGGGTTTATGCGGTGAAGATGAGTGGGTCGGAGTGGTACCAAGTGAGGAGGGTGAAACCTGATCATTTATGCACGGTTGACGAGAGAGGGAATTTCCAAAGACATGCCACATCAACGGTAATAGGAGACATGATGCGAGCACGGTACGCAGGACGCGGGGCGGGACCAAAACAAAATGAGGTGCGGGAGATGATGAGAGCTGACCACGATGTACCTATCTCATACTGGAAGGCAAGATATCTTGAATTGTCTATTTAAGTTATTAGATGGTATTAATGTAGATAGACATTGATTATTTAAATTTAGGCTTGGCGATCCCGACAGGTGGCAATGGATTATGCGAAGGGGAGTAACGGCGGGTCGTACAAGTTGTTACCGTCTTATCTCCAACAACTGGTGATAACAAATCCTGGAACGATTGTTAATCTAGAGACCGACATTCAAGAAGGCCAGGGGCAGCGTTTCAAATACCTTTTCGTCGCATTTGGCGCATGTGTGCAAGGATGGAAGTATATGCGAAAGGTGGTTGTAGTGGACGGGACGCATCTGAAGGGTAATTATGCAGGCTGTATGCTAACTGCGAGCGCGCAGGATGGAAATTTTCATATCTTTCCAGTGGCATTCGCCATTGTGGATGGGGAAAATGACAAATCCTGGACCTGGTTTTTTCAAAATCTGCTGAATGTAATTCCCGACGCAAACGACGTGGTCTTTGTCTCCGACCGGCACAACTCAATATACGCTGCCTTAAGCAAGGTATGAACTACAATCGATGATTATGGGGAAATTTTAGGTTGTGTGTAACTTGTTAAGTTAGACCTCTATAGTAATAAATATTGTTTACCTATAGGTGTACCCGCAAGCTAAACATGGGATCTGCGTTGTTCACTTGCAAAGGAACGTCCAAGCCATCTTCAAAAAACGGCAACTAGCATACCTGATATCCAAGGCAGCCAGAGCATATCACATCTCGGATTTTAACACACACTTTAACCAGATAGTGGAAATCGATCGTTCTTGTGCAGAATACCTCGCCGCCATAGGATTTGAGCAATGGACCCGTGCACATTTTAGTGGAGTGAGGTACAACGTCATGACCAGCAACATAGCTGAGTCATTAAACGCTATAATGGCTGAAGCTCGAGGCTTTCCAATTCTGGCTCTATTGGAACACATTCGCACCACCCTGATGGGTTGGTTTAATGAACGGCGGGAGAAGGCTACAAACGACTCTGGTGTCCTAACGAAAAGAGTTCAGGCAATCGTGGCTTCTAACTTCGAGAAAGGGACCGGGTATGTGTTAAAGCGCATCAACGATAGTGAGTTCGAAGTGATAGACAAAGCAGGGTTCACTTTCCGTGTGGATCTATGCAAGAAGAGTTGCAGTTGCTGCGAGTTTCAACTCTTATCTATCCCTTGTTCGCATGCGGTAACAGCTGCCGTAAGGTCAAATGCTAATGTTGAACAGCTGGTCGGGGAGGAATTAACGACTAAGTTTTGGCGAATGGCTTACGCGGTGAGTATTTACCCAGTGCCAGATTATCAATCGCCCAGCGAAGAAGGTGACCTCATTTCAAACTTTGCCCTACTGCCACCCGCCACCAGGCGCCCTCCTGGACGCCCACGTAAGCAGCGTATATACTCACGTGGTGAATTCAGGGTAAGTTATCATTTAACAAGAATTTATAAGTGTGGACGGTAGATAAGCGTTAGCATTAAAAGTAAGTTTATAACGAAGTGTATTTATCCCTTAAGTTTGCAGGGGCGATTTGTGAGGCGTCTTACGATATGTGGTCGGTGTGGTGGTCGGAGCCACAACCGAGCCACTTGTAAGAATCCAATATAAGAAGATGGTAGTGGGAGGAGGACTCAATCAAGCGATCGTGTTTTATTTTGGAAGTGCGCCGAACTCAGGGCCGGCCAAATTTTCATCTGGTGTGTTTGTATAATATTAAGCGTAAGTCCCTTGATAAGACTGAATCGTGTGTGATACAGTCTCGGAATGTTTGAGATGTCCTTTCTCCCGTTTGTAATATGCATGTTTGAAAACTTATGGTATCTGCTTTGAAGCAATGTGAAATAGTATGTTTATGAATTAAAATGTTAAAGACTAAAAAGACAGTTAGATATTATAAATATATATGCGAGTGAATTGGAGTTGTTAGAAGAAAGCGTGCTAGAAAGTAAAAAGAGAGTTAGACGTAAATGTGTTAGAGGGTAAGACTGAGTTTAGACCGTAAGAATTGAATTGGGTGTGAACTAAATTCTGTAGAGAATATAGTAAGCGTAACATGATGTCAATATTGATTTACCAAATATATTTATAAGGAGACAACAAGAACATTGGTAGTAACAAAGTTAACAGCTAAGTATAGTAATGTCGTATTATAAGAGAAATAGTGGATGTATAGAATAATTTAACAACCAAGAAGTTAACTCAATTTAACGCAAAAAATAGTGGATGTATAGAATAAAGTTATTTAATAGAAAGAAGAAGAAGTTAAGAAGGAATCTATATGGAACATTGGTACTTGTTAAAAATAATTATACATCGAACAATTTTTTTTACCAACTACTTATTATTGCTAACATGCTAAAATAAATTCAACAAGAATTACGATATAGAGAAGGATCCAACGAGTAATTGTAAAATACAAAGCAATGTTAGCATCTCACATGAAATGTTCTCATAGCTAAGGCTAAGGACTCGGCCCAAACTCATCGTAAAACATAACAGCTAACTTGTAGGCCTCCGATGTCAGCAACTCAGGGGTAATGGTTCGGCATCCGTCCAATCCAGCACTTGCATGGGCCTGCATAAGCAAAACAGCGGTGACGGCTGAATCTGAGTTGATCTCGTTTTGTGGAATGCCCGTAACTCTCTCCAGGGAAAATGGTTTCTCGTCACGCAAAGCCTTCGTGCTTGCGGCTCTGACAATGAAAGGAAACATATTGCAGATGGGGTTGAAGTCACGCTTGAGGGCAGTGTCAGAACGAAAAGCAACGTTGCAATCGAGGACAACAATAGCAGCCCTAGGAATGTTCACACATACACCAACCCAATGTCTTTGGTCAAAGTTGAAGGGGAAGTACATTGCCTCCGGAAGAGGACGCCGCGGGTTGTCTGACTCGAAGTACGATAGCAGCGATCCGTCGATTTTAAACTTCGAACGATCTTTGACAGCGGTCTTGGAAAATTTAGCATATTGAGATTTGATAAGACTTGGGAAGAGCGTATCAAAAAACTCTATCTTTGAGTGATTCATCGGATACATCTGAGGGCCGGAAACGTGACGGACGTAGAACATTAAGGCGTCCACAATCTAGAAAATCATTAACGACTATATGTTAACAAAGTGTTGAAAACTGAAGAAAAGAAAGTTAAATATGAGGGATTAGCTCTCCAGAGTGTTACCTTAGAATCAAGCACACGAATGCGGTCGCCGATAGCAAGAACATCTTCGATACTAACAGATGCACCCTCGTAAATCTCCATTGGACGTCTAAAAAAAAGTTTATTACGTTAACACGAAATTTGACGGATAATAATATATATATCCGGTAAAACGTTTATTATAAAGATAATTTGCTGTATGTATTACTTGTCGTGCGTGAGCTTGGCTTTGAGATCCACAAACCGAGCACTATAATTGACATAGGGGTCGCATGGCATTATAAAAGTACACTTAGCAGCTGCTGGACGGTTGAAAGCGCATTGATAATCCTTGAAAACAACAGATGAGGTCTTGACTCGTTTGCTTTTGCGTGGTAGAACTTCATCTTTGTCAGAGACATTTTCATTGACGACATCGGGCTTCTGGGCCACTAATTGCTCGTCTTGCGTTAAACCGAGAGAAAAGGATGGTGACACGGACAACAGTAAATCCATCTACATTCAATATATGAAAATTAGTGATTCGTCCCTAACAACAGAACAAATACTAAAGATTGGCTTATACCGCTTTCGTGTTTCCCCCAATGGAGCAAGATTGATGTTGGGGCGCGAGCTGGTAGAGAGACATTAGAGAGGGACGTCATCAAATACAAACAATAACGAAGTTGGTGATATACTTTTTTGTAAACATCTACAAATAATAATACTTCTCTATATCTAATTGTGGTCGTTAATATATATTGTAACTATGTTACAAGTATATGTAGACAACTATAATTTTACATGGGTGATGAAAAGCTAACCTCAGCAAGCTGGGTCGGTAAGTCTTGGGATGTGGTGTTTGCTCCCGGAGGAGTCAGGTGAGATTGTGACACATTACTGGCAGGGAAAACACAACTAAAGGGTGAAGGGTCCTTGGCCTGGATTAGGAAAAGGAAATTTAATAGAGCTGCGGAAGTGAAATGGAAGATGAGTAAACAATGACCACTTACTTGGGCATTTATAGATTGCGTTAGACTGCGAATGAAATCTTCATTACTCATGGCAAGGGAGGGAGCCTTTTGCATCTGTGTCGGCGCAACTGCAGAAGGTTGAAAAAGAGGACTGGGCGGCGGATGATGGCCACAATTCAAAGAGGTTTTCGGATTGGCGACATTGTCAAAACCTGACTTCCCGCCTGAAGAATGGATGGAATGTGCTTGATGCTCATTTTCAGACTCAGGAACGCTTTCTCGTGTAGGAGGATCTCCAAGTTCGGCCGAGATAGTTGCGTGTCTAACGTTTTCGGATATACTTTGGATAATGGAGTGATGAAATGACTTGAAGGCGTCTGTAATAGCTTGTCCAATCTTCCCATCCTGCAGAAGGATTGATGCTTCAAGATCCCGTAACCTATTACTGAAGGACTGCAACTCAGGCTTCAATTTATCAAGCACCAGTTCAGCGATCCCCTCCTGATCAACCGTAGCAAATGAGGATGAAGTGTCGCCGGTTTTGTCTTTTTTCTTCTTGTCTTTAGCTTCTTTCTCTTTCAGAGCCTTATCACTTCGCATACGGACCAAGTCAGAAGTTGTAAGACCACCCGTGAACATATCACCTGAAAAACGATAACCTTCGCCGATAAGCTTGACCATAACATCTACGGACTCATCACCAACTTCGTCAGCCCAACGTAAGTCCATCCCTTCGATAGCACAGACACCGTCCGTAGGGATGATGGAATAAACCAATGCCTGATATGGGAAAGTTATAGGTTACAGGAAATTGTATCATTGAACAACATAATGTAACTGATATTATAATAAGTGACAGATATTCCCAAGGATACTTATTAATTTGTCAACGCTCAGATTATGTACCCGTTAACTATGATTGTAAACAGTATCAATAAGTGAGGTAATTTACCTTCTCCTCCTCATCGATTTCTCGTGCATGGCTGGGACTAAGCATCATTTTCACAACGCCGGAAGATGTGGCTCTTTCAGCCAGATCCGCGGCATCGCAGCCGAGATTGGCCTCCTGTCCGGTGGATACATCGGCGGCGGTGTCACATTCATCTTCGTAGTCACTATCAGACTCACCGGATGGAGCTTGAACTACCTCGGTAAGCGTCGGCACTGCAGCCATCATTACAAGCTGGATGGCATAAAAAAATCCTTTTACGGCGATTGTCTTCTGCGAGAGTTCCAATTCATCTTTGGATTTGATGCTAGATACGAGCAAATCAAACCCAACTCTACCCCAAGGGTATGAAAGAAATGAATCAATGTCCCTTATGAGCTCGACATGCTCGGGGACAATCTTGGTAACATGCGAGGTAGGAACCAAAACAGAGGCAGTTACAGCGAGGCAGGCGCATTTGAATCTCTTCTCTTTGTCTGAAATTTTTCTTTTCTGTAACATGTGGATGACGGAATCAACAGTGCATGTCTTAAGCAACCCAAAGAGCTCAGGCCAGTACGGTTTCTGGGCCACAAGATTTTTAAGCTTCCTCGTCTGAGCAAATTTCCCACACTCGAGCCCTGTAACTAGAGCAAACTCTCTGAGAGAAAATCTCACTGGCCGACCAGCAAACAGAAACCATAATTCATGCTTCTTCTTCACACGCAAGAGACGAGCGAGCATGTAATAGCCAAAGCTCCCGGAAAATGAAGGCTTCTCCATCGTCTCTAGGAGCCGTCCAAGTTGGGAATCACGAAGCCTCTTTGCTTCATCTTCGTCGAGAGAATTCATAATAGCCTGTACCGATTTTGATTTTTGGTAAGAATTCACCCTCTCTCCGACGGGCTCTTGGCCGGCAGCAAAAATTCTCTCAGGCAATTGAATGTTAGGCATCCTTTAATATATTTCAGACGAAACCAATTAGTCATATATCAAAGCAAAAATTCATGTGCAAAATTGAGAACGGTGTAACGAAAACTTACTTACAGAAATCGGCGACTACAAACTGTAAAATTGGATGAAAATGGATTCCAGGGATGAACGGCGGCGAAAACAAGAGAAAGAAGCTTCTGGGTTCAGTCTAACTAATAAAATAACCTAATAAAAATATTGTTTACCAGTGTTCGACATTTGCTTTGATCGATGAGGCTTATTGTGTAATATTAATAAGATTTTTGAATTTCAAATTATTGTGTAATATATTACTGTTTCTCTCTGACGCCAAAATCTTATCAAGATCGGCGATGCTTGCTAGTAAGTAGGGAGCATAGGGGTATAGTCGGGTTATTAAAATGCTAACAGTGTCGAAATAGTGCGATGTATATTCTTGCAAATATGGTACAGTATCATGGTCATCTAGTGCATTTTCTTTTATTTTATTATTACTTTATATGAGATAGAATCTTTGGCTGTGACTGGATAGTCATTTTAGCGTAAATATTTTTACTCTAGATCCATGTTTACTCCAAGTTCAGCCAAATATTCACCAATCAAGTAGATTATCATTTTTTAATATTTACGCTAGCTACTGTAGATAAAGAGAAAAGTACACTCTAACTTTTACTCTGGGTTTTGCTGGAGTAACTCTTTTCCACCTGTTTTATTTTTCTCTCTCTTATTTCCACCTGTTTTTTTTTCTATCTCTTTTCCACTTCTTTTTTTCTACCATTTTACTCTTTGCATTACCAATCAAGGCCTTTATTGTTTCTTTTTAGAATTTATCATTCCTTCTTCCCTTTGGTGGGTTACCTTTTGTATTTTTTTTTGCCTTCAAATTTCCTTGATGGATTTCTCTTTTTCCTGTTAGATATTGTTGTCTTATTGATAGTTACAACCAAAATAAAATATCGTCAAGTATCTCTTGGGTATGCTTGTTGTGTGTCTAACTTGTTGGTTTTGGTCCATCTCTTAGTTTCTGTTGTCACTTATTCCTTGTTTGTAGTTTATTTTTTGTATCTCTGCTTTCTTTGTTGTCTTTGTATTTCTGTCACAAATTTAAAAACTGGTATAAAATTTAACATTTTACCACAAAAAAAAAAAAATATCGTCTTCCCCGTTGTTTGCCTCCGACGTCTTTTTCTAGTTAAATTACGTACATGGGACCACCGACCAAAAACAAAGACAATCCATGGGGACAATTTTTCTCTAACATTTTTTAACTTTGAAATGTCAACAAATTTATCCAACTTTGGAGTGAAATTTATACTGAACGTTAACTGTATTTTTCTTACTTGCACTGTATACTAGATAAACACATGCAATGGGTTTTACTGTGACGGTTTCAAACCGAACTCAGTTAATCAGCCCAAGTTGTGGACAGAGACCTGGACTGGTTTGTAAGTCAATAAGCTCTTTAGTATTACAGTTTCATTTTTTTGAGCTTGTCTTTAAATATAAATCATTTATTATAAGATACACAAAATAGTAAAATGTATGTGGTGATTGTAGGTTCACGGAATTTGGAGGTCCAATACCAAATAGACCAGTCGAAGACATTGTGACAACGTGACTCGTTTCATACAGAACGGTGGTTCCTTTATGAATTATTACATGGTACTAGGGGTTATCCCCGGGTTACGCCCGGGTTATTTAATAATTTTTTTCATTAATTTTAGTTTACTATCTAATTTTTCTATTTGCATTTGAATATAGACGACACATTTATACAATGTCTATGTTTTCCAAATATACAACCATGTTTTTCGATGGAATTAAAAAGATCCATTTTAAGAGAAAATATTGATTGGAGATTTAAAATTATACTCCCCTGTTTTACAAAAAGTGTCAGTTTTAAGGTTTTTCATACATATTAAAAAATCAATTAAGAAAGAACACATGCTTGTTCAACGATATTAGGAAGTTTTGACGTTTGAAAAACTGAAGCCTGGTTTTTACCATTGTATACAAATAATCAAAGTAAACAACATTTAAAAAGTAAAGTGTTTTCTATATGTAAATTGATTTTGTGGGTAAGCAGTCACAATGCAAAAAAATTCACATACAAATTTATCTAAATATATTTTGATTCATACGTTTCTATTAAATTTTACTTTTAAGAGTTAGAATTGTGAATACATTAATATTCTGTATATACAATCCCGCACGGATTTCAACGTGTTTGGAACTTACATCTTTAACCAAAATTTGTGGTCTGATTCTAGTTTGTCCGTCCACATTCGCCTCCCGAAAAGATTGTAAATCTTAAAACCTTTTATTAAATCACCTAACCGCATACATTTGAGATCACCTCCTTGTCAAAACCCAAAACCCGACACTATATCTCTCTCTGAGACATTATGGGCTGCATGTCTGTTTTTAATATCAAAACCTGTATAACAAATCACTCAGTAGCACATAAATGAATCCTTACTCACATAGAAGCTCTTGGTGTTCAATAATGTACTTGAGAAGAATTCGCAAGAACTGCCACCTGACCTTGAAGCTACTTTGAACCCATGTCTTTTTACCGTTCCTTGATAGTGTTACTCGCTCCTTAACTTGAAATACCAATGTGTAAATCATATCTCATTCATGATAAGGAGGATCGCTTTGAGAGAAACCTTTTGAGTAATATAACAACATTTTTCTTAAAACTATACAATATACTAAATATAACTTCAGGAAAAGGACAGAAGCTACTAACCTCAGTAGCAGAATAAGCAGGGAAATATCCCAGATACTTCAATGTGACAGGTTCATAGCATTGAACTGTCTACTGGCTTGCCTCCGATGATTCAATGTGCTAATAAACAAAAGATTCAACAATTAAATTAGCTTATCATGACATATCATCAACCGTAGTGAGTCAACCAGTTAGATTGACAAATATGGAAACCAAAGTTTGTTCCATAACACAAAGATGAAATCTACTTAAACATTACCATACCTAAGTCCTTTCATCCAGATTTGAAAACCACAATATGGAAGAAAATGAGACATGGTACGATTGAAGAACTCACATAAACAAAGCTATTCTCCTTCGTATCTTTTCCATGAGCCAACATTGTTTCAAAAATCTATTCCTAAAACCAATAAATCACAAGTAGATAAAGCTTGTTCTACGGAATGTTTCACACAAAGGGAACACGCAGTTCTTTAACAACCAAGCAAAGCCAAAAACGAAAGTTGGAGAGGTATCATCGGATGCGTCTACGTCAATGGAAGGAACGTTGGGGGAATGAGCATAAGAAAACATACTCTACACATATGCCATACAATTATACAGCCTTAAACATTTAAAATGTATATGCAAATTTAATTCATTTATGTATTGTGTTCATAATGGTTTCGTCATAGATAAGCGTACAATTGTTTTCCTCACGATCTCTCTATATTTGATAAACCACTATAATATAAAATTAGAATTCGTTCGGTTCAAAGCCAAACTAATGTTTTGCTTTTTAAGTTCTCAATGGAATAGGGAAAAAAGGAAAATACAGGCGAACAAATAATAGATTAAAACTACCAAGAGTCAAAATGAAATGAAACGAAAATATGTATAGGAAAAACAGGATCATGATGTGCAATATGTACCTTCGTCCCAATTTGAGAATTGAAGTTACTCCGCATCTGAGGAAGGGGATTTTTAAATCCAATCTTCAAGCCTGAAATCCAAGACAATAAAACCAAGACCAACAAAAGAATCTGTTAAATGTGGATCGGACTCGTAATGAGAATATTATAAAACAGTCATCTTTGTGAGCAACCCAGAGATATCAAGAGATGATAAAGTTAGGAAAGTGGATCATACGTGGAATGTAGTGGCATACATCTCTTGAGAAAATATGAGCGATGAGTTAAGACATATGTGCATTGAGGAAAAAGCGATATGGTTCTATTGTCATGATCATTTTTTTTAACCTGCAAAACAAATTCAAAGTGTAGATTTTCATTTAGTGTAGATTTTTTTTTGGATTATTACATGGTATTACAGTTTGATTAAATTGAAAAATAGAAAAAATAAAATAGAAAATGTTTCAACTTGTGAAAGAGTATATTAATTAAGAGAATGTTGTTTCAGTACCACGGCGGGAAGAACTTTGATAGAACATCTGGTGTGTTCATTGCCACGAGCTACGACTACGATGCTCCTCTCGATGAATATGGTAATCAACGCTATTATCATCTGAAAAATTAAATATTAATTAATCAGTCAAAAAAAAAAATTAAATATTAATGACCTCTCTAGCTATTTGATTTGATCGACGATTTGATAAACATTTTTTGGAAACTTTTTGTTTGTTTGTGAAAAGGATTACCGAGAGAACCCAAGTATAGTCACCTGAAAGAGTTGCATAAAGTCATCAAACTATGTGAACCTGCGTTGGTCTCTGTTGATCACATCATTACATCGCTCGGAAATAAGCAAGAAGTGAGTATGCAATGTAACTTTGAAGAGAAAAAGTATTAAAGATTTGTTCCCAAAAAAAGAAGTATCAAAGATTCATACATTTTGTTATTTTGGGTTATATTTTCAGGCGGCTCATGTGTTCAAGTCCAAGACTTCGTGCGCTGCGTTTCTTTCGAACTACGACACGAGCTATGCATCAAGAGTTATGTTTAGGGGATTTCCATATGATTTGCCTCCTTGGTCTGTCAGTATTTTACCCGACTGCAAAACCCAGTATTACAACACTGCAAAGGTTAATAAACTAAAATCTTATATTGATAACATTATCCTTTTTTGACATGTGCAACTAGTGCATTTAAATAGGATACCAATTCGATAATTATGTTTAAGAAAATTTCGAATATGTGTGTATAGATTTAGTCCCTAATTACAAAAAGAGGACTTCTGACACATGATTCCGATTCGAAAATTATTTATACTGTAAGAATACTATATGATTTCAATAGTTTAAGACGTCCTAATTTTGTTAATCTCGTAAGAATGGTATTATTGTTATTGAGATTGACCTATATATGTGTTCCTCATTTTGTCATGTACGTAACGTGACATAGATCCGTTCACCGAGCATACTTATGAAGATGATTCTTACTAGAACGCGATTTTCATGGGAATCATACAATGAAGCAATCCCTTCTTCAAATGGCTATGGTACGTTTGCTAAAGATGGTCTGTTGGAACAAATAAGCATGACCAGAGATAAAACAGACTATTTCTGGTATCTTACAGAGTAAGTAATGTTTGACCTTCTCTTGACAAATGAAATCTCTATATCTTGCTGATTGATTAATTGCTGATCCACAGTTGGTTCTGTTTTATGTTTGTTTCTTGTTTATTTTCAGCATCGCAATTATTTCTAATGAGAGATTCTTGAAGACTGGTGATGGTCCACTACTTACCATTTGTTCACCTGGGCATGCTCTTCATGTATTCGTCAATGGTCAGCTTGCAGGTAAGATAAGATATACTTATGAACTTAAAATATCAAAGGTCAAATTCATCTTTTTTTTTTTTTTTTTTTTTTTGAACACAGGTCAAACTCATCTTATACTTGAAAAAAATTCTTAAAAACATTCAATTTTTTTTTTTTTTAGGAACTAGTTATGGAGCATTGAGCAGCCCCAAGCTCACATTTAGCCAAAAGATCAAATTGCGTGTAGGCGTCAATAAACTTGCTCTGCTAAGTACGACTCCGGTTAGTTCTGATCTTGTTTCATTCGATGGGTTATTGCGTTTTCTTTTTCCTCAAAATATGAATTTATATAACTTAGTTAACGAGATTTGTTATCTCCAATTCATCACAGAAGGCTGGTTTGCATTATGAGACTTGCAATACTGGAGTTCTAGGTCCAGCCACACTGTATGGAGTTAACTCTGGAACATGGGATATGTCAAAATGGAAATGGTCCTATAAGGTATCTTCAACAAGAGTTTGAACTGTCTCTGAATCTTTATACCAACCATAACAATAATAAACTAAATGTGTATTCTTTTGTGTGTGTGATTCGAGTAGATCGGTACTAAAGGTGATGCTATGAGCCTTCATACCATAACTGGGAGTTCCTGTGTGGAATGGATAGAAGGATCATTCGTGGCCAAGAAGCAGCCTTTGACCTGGTACAAGGTATGAAATACTACTTTTTAAATAGTTTCTTTTTAGGTTTTAATTTTTTGTTGATATAGATTAATGGTTTTCCAGATTTGCATGCAAAAACAAATGATATTTCCAAATGTACCTTTACTTGAAATTAGTTAGCTATTATAGCGCATTTATCCAAAATAGCAAATGAAATTTATTAAAAGCTATATATGAATCAAGTGGTAGTGGGCGAAATTCGTTTAGTTTTATTGAGGAGCCACCATGTTGATCAAAGTCAGTAAACGAATTATATAACCGCTCTGCTTGACCACTATAGACGTCTTGAATGGGCAAGACCTCAGATTTTATAAACCTTTGGAATTAGACTAGGTTCCAAAAACCCCCTAATAAAAAAGTTTTTCTTTATATATATATTATGTTTTGAGTGCTTTATTATATGCTTGTGGAGATTACAAAACATATAACTTTGCGAAACAGAGAGAGAACATAAGGATGAAACATGTCTACCAATAAAGTTGGATCAATATATATCATAGAAAAGAAACCTATGGATCGGGTGGGATTGTGTTGACTATCTTACCTTGGTTAGAAATGAGACTAACTAGAACCTTACTACGTCTCAGAGACACTCTTAGACTAGATTTGGGCGGTGGACTGTGTATATATGGGTTTTATTGAGCTTAGTTACGAGCATAGAATGATATTTTCATATCAGATTCTTGCACTCTTTATTTGCAGTCTTCTTTTGATTCACCGGTATCTAATAGTGTGTAATATAGCCTCTGTAGTCTGTACTATGCGCGCTGTGTTTAGAGTCTTTAGACTACATAACATAGAGTCTAATTCAATTAACTTTATAGTTACATTTAAGTTCTTGATTATCTAATCTTGAGACTACCGAACATAGCTGCATTACTCCCTTCCTAGCTCTGCTTTGGGAAGATTTCATCACTGTCTTCGGCTATCTTCTGAGACAGTTCCTGAGAGAGAAAGAAAACTCAGGAGCCAGGTACGATTGCTGAAATTGCAGAACTTTACCGCGATGAGGATAACGATGAGACATTATCTTCCTTGATCGAGATAATGAGCTGGCTGGTAGGGATCCGTTTCACTTGATTGCTGCCTTCTGAACAGCGAGAGGCAATGTTTTCCGGAAAGGCTGCGTCTGTGTCTCCTGTGAAAAAGGAAGAAGAGAGTTCTCTTCTTCAAGAATCATCACAGTCTGCTTCCTCTGAGAACCTTCTCACTTCTTCATCTGACATTTCCTCAAGCCAGCCAAAGATTGTTGTAGAAGGAAGTGACGGACCTGTTAGACCCGGGAAAAAGTCAGGAAAGGAGTATTGGCAGCACACGAAGAAATGGTCACGCGGGTTCTTGGAGTTGTACAATGCAGAGATTGATCCAGAAGTGAAAGCTGTTATGAGACACGTGGGAAAAGACTTGGACCGATGGATTACAGAAGACGAAATCAAAGACGCAGCTGATATAATGGAAAAGCTGCCAGAGAGGAACAAGAAGTTCATGGAAAAGAAACTCAACAAACTCGAGAGAGATGGAATTGTTTGGTCCACAAGCTGTTTCGAGCATTGTTTTCTTCCTAAACATTTGACATCGGAGAAACCCAAAGTCCTTCAAAATCTTATCTTCCTTTTCGTGTTACAGTGAATTGAATTGTACACGGTTGATGACAGAGGAGAGCAACAAGTAGGATTCTACACATTGGAAATGGCAGCAGATCTCGAGTTAGAACTCAAACCGCATCATGTGATTGCTTTGGACTGTAAAAACCTTTGTTGTTACATTATTCAAGCTCAACTGGATATGCTTAAAACTGGAAACGTTTTCATTGTTCCCGGCCCGCCGAAGATAGAGAATGTTCACCAATGAAGAAACTTTAAGTAGACCTGTTCTCTTACCAATTTTAAAAAGATAGATTTCCAGAAGAGATGTGTGAGATAGGAAGCAAGATGTACCATGATAAGATCATGGGATAGTATAAGCTCGTTGATGAAAACAATGTGAATTTGCGGTTATAGAGAGTCAAGTTACTCTGGAAAGGTTTGCTTTTCTTTACCGCAAGTAATGTAAACCATTCAAGTATGAATTTGCGGTAAAGTGTGAAAAACCAGTACGTGATGTGCAATCATATTCCGTGAAATCATATATAGATTAGATTGGAATTCGGATACACAATGGAGATAATGGAATCATACATAGATTTTGTCCAAAAAAAAGAAGTAATCATACATAGATTAGATTGGAATTCGGATACACAATGGAGATAAAGGAGCACAATCCCTGATCACACAACTAAGTCACTCCCTAATCCTAAACAGATTTAACGGGACTTAAAAGGACCATCTACTCCTCCTTCAAACAGCTTAGACGATGTCCAGACAGCTTTAGCAAAAGGTTCAAGATCTTCTGCTTCGTGGGGTGTTGCTAGCAATACTTTATAACCTTGCTCAACCGCGAACTTCAGAGACTTCGCGAAGTCTTTATCTTCGGAAATTAACAGAACAACACCTATAAAATAAATAGAAGATCTGTCAAAAAACAGATCAAACGAACCACATACACCAACACGAGCAAAAACACAGACTAGCTCGACATGATACAACCTAGCACACCACATACCAGCTACTGGTACAGGTCACAAAAAATTTCCAACCGTTAGTATCCTAACGCCAAACCACAAAGCAAATGCTCAAACTTTCTCAAACTCAAAAAGATAGTATCTATTTATATTATTAAATCTTCATCAAAAATAATCAAATTCCAAATAAGAACATGATATTAAATTCTACAATTATTTAATTCGGTATGCACGAGATTTTAAGTTAAAAAAAGTCCAATTAACCGGCGCTCATAATCTAGTAAAGAAATTAAAATTAAAAAAAAAATCTAAAAAGAAACCTGGAGGTGGATCTGTCATATTCAGATATTTTATCTCGCGAGCTAAAATCGCATCTCCCACGTCCATGACTCTCGAGTAATCGTCTTGATGGTTTTTCTTGTAGTGTTCCTCAAGTTGAGCGTCATTCATCCAGGTGAGATTTGTAGACTCGTGACCACATTTCGCACACTTTCTTACCCTAACCGGCGTTCTAAAGGATCGGTAAGGTGGGTTGTTTGCGTCGAGATAGCTTAATCTTTCTTCTCTGAAGAAAGATTGATCCTCAGGTAATTCATTTACGCCTAAACCGAAAAAGCTCCCACAGGCTGCGAAAGTCTTGATCTTAAGATTCGTATCATAGATCGTCAATGCTGTTTGAATCTTGGGCAACAAAAGTTCAATATCATATCCTAAGGGAAGTGGAGCATTATCCCAGTCCCAAATTACATGGGCTGGTTTAAAAGGTACTTTAGTTGGCACCGAGTTCCAGAAGTCGGTGTCAAACTTAAGCAGATTTGTAAATGGCTGTGCCATGAAAGAAGAGTTTGAGAAAAAATTAGGGTTTAAGAGAAGGAGGCGGAAAAATGGATAAATTAAGGTTCCAGAGGAAGGAGGCGAGAATGAAAGAAAACTAGGGTTTCAAGTTTTGGTCGCTTTGGAGACTTTGATGAGGTGAAGATTGGGCCAAAATTGGTGGACACGAGTTGGGCACCCATAGGACCGTGTGTGTTAAATGCGAATATGTTTGTTTTTGATTGTGAGAATATTATGTTTTCAATTGATTTATATTTTACATTTTTAATTATTCCTAAAGGGAGCTAACTGAAACAAGTGATGATCCATGTGACTAAATCTATCTATAATAACAAAGCGAAGAATTACCAATTAATTCATCTAAGAGTTGTGTCTTTAGGATTGTTTATATTGCACTCTTTTGAAAAGAAACAATTTTCTATTAAATTCCCTATATATTACATAAGTAAGTTGTTTAAAAAAATTTATTAGTTAAAGAATGACTATAAGAGAAATTTTCCTTTCTCAAAGTTACAGTGTATCAATCAAACAAAAAAATTCAGATTTTTCTTATACATTATCAAGTTCATCTTATTCTAATTCCAGAAAAACCATAATTTCATTAGTATTCAATAATGAAGGTATGATATTGTTCACCTTTTAATTTGTGTAATGTTAAAATTTAATTAAATAAAATATTATGATGCTAAATCCATTAATGTTCTTAATGATATTTGATCAATAAAAATATTGAAATTGATGAATTCTTTATTGATCCAACAATTTCTGATAATGTTCTCCAACTTATAGTTTTTCATTCATTTTTACTAATTTGTTTTGTATATATACTTTTTCTGTTAGTTTATATATATTTATGTTAATTAATTGTTTAATTGTGTTTAGATGTTTCAAAAATCATATATATATATATAGTATGTTGTTGTGAGATTTTTTTCTTATTTTTTTTATTAAACAATTTATATATGGGTGAAGGATCTAGTCATCAAACATGCAGTTTTTCAATAGAACACACTTCAGTTGAATTGTTTAATACATTATCAAGTCCATCCAATACTAATGACATAATATCTAGAGTTCCATTAGTTATGATGCTAATAACATTTGTGATAATGTTTAAATTCAAATAAAAATATTTATGATGCTAAATCCATTAATGTTCTTTAATGATATCTAATTAATAAAATTTATGAAATCAATGAATTCTTGAATATCAATTTATTTAACTAAAACATTTTGACAATGTTCTCCACCTAATAGTTTTTCATCCATTTTTTATAAAAAAAAAATTTAATAGATAATTCTGAATATTGGTTTATATATGTATATATTATTAACAGTTCAATTGTGTTTAGATGGTGATTAAAAAAAAAAAATCAAACAATAGCAATATCTACCCCAAAAAAATGAAAAGTGAGTATATTCTTAAAAAAAGTTAAAAGTGAGTATTCTTACGATTAAATTTTGTTTTGGAATTAAATGAACCTGATAATATTTAAAGAGAAAAGAGGTCGACCATTCAAACAAAAGGTTATAGGACAAGCAATAGAATTAGGAAGTTGTTCCCAGCAGCCATCTAAAAATAACAATTTGTTACTATTATTTTTTTATTTTTTATTTTCATATCTTATTTGACAATATTTTTATTTTCATATATTATTTTTTTATTTTGTGAATTCCAACAATTATCAAATGAATCTATTACACCCCCCCAAAAAAAATCTTTAAAAGTAAAAAAAAACAGCCACACAGCAACAACGAAGAATGTTGACGAAGAAAATGATCGAGTTTATTGGTTAATGATCGGTTTAAGCCCATGATTTAGGAACATATCAAACCGGTTTAGTTAACCGGTAGTTATTCCATAAGTAACAACTCGTGTCTTTACATATGGTTGTGTCTCTACGTACGGTTGTGTATTTCTGTGTTGTGTCCATTTGATTGTGTATATATATGAAACATTGCAAAGAGAAGAGTAATGTTTTTTGGGGTAATACAAAACATAATATGAAGTAACTATTGAGACAAGGAGAGAAATCTAAATAAAGAAAAAAAACGTTACAGTGAGAGAAAGCTTTGAGAGATCAACCGGAGGGCACTTGAACAGTGGATAGTGGTTGATTTCTATCTGTGATCTCATCCTGATCTCTGCAGCCGTTTTCAGATCATACCGAGTCATCTTCGTCGCTAAACTAGGCTAAGGTATGTGTTTCAGTTAACATGCGTCCGCAGAAACTACAGTTTCAAGTTTATTTAACACTAATGATATATGATATACGATTCTACTATTGTTAAATGATAAATGTATAATGTTTTTCAAACTTGTCTGATAATGGTTAAATTTCAATTAAATTTTCATCAATTTATATAAAATAATTTAGTTATTGCCAAAAAATTTTAAATATAAAAATGCTTTGGTAAAAAATTTTAAATGATGTTTGAATAAACAATTTAACAAATCAATGAATTCAGAAAAAAAAAAGAGATTTAGAAAATTGTTTTCAACAACATTCTCCAATTAACATATTGTCTTTTATAATATTTTTTTGCTTTAAAATACTTTCGAATGTTACTTTACACATGTATACATTAATTAATCATTCTTCATACTTATGAAGTGACTGAGTCTAATGACTATGCACCTTCAAAAATCATACTTCCTCTGTTTTTTATAAGGAGTTTTTCTTAAAAAACCAAGAATTAAAGAATTCTTTTTTATTACTTAAAATATTAAATACTACCATAACTGTATTTAGTTACCAATTAAAATGAGTTTAAGAAGAGAAATACAAATGATTTATGATAATATCAAAACTATTAATAATTAACTTTACATAGAAATGTGAGAAGTTTTTATAATAAAAACAGAGGGAGTAACAATATATTTTTTCACCTACACGTACGAATGAGATTAGCCATTGGTAACTGGATATGTTGCTATAATTGGCTATAAGATTTTTCTTAAAGTTTGTTACAAATTGGCAAGTGGCAACCTTAAACCCACAGCTAGTTTTTCCCACGTACAATGTGTCGTTAATTATAAAAAAATTAAGTTTGTACATATTCGAAAAATTCATATGAAATTTTCATTTTGTCGAAAAATGATAAGGATCTGAAAGAAAACAACCAAGAAAAATCATAATGTCTTTATAAATCTATTAAACAGAACATTGTTGTCTCCTATTTTGATACTGTTGTCAATACTCAAAACACTAAATATTTCTATTTCTTCGTTTCAACACTGATAATTAACATATAATCAATGAGGAGACGCATATCATTTGAAAGACGAACCGAGACGGTCTAAACCCGACAAGATGAATCGGCTGAAAGACTGGTTAACCAAACTGAATCCTTTTGTACCGACACATCATCATCGTTCCTCTGCCATTTCCATTGTGCATGAGTCGCATTCACCACCACCAATTGACCATGCCTGAAACTTGCTTCTCTAAACAATGATATTGCTGGAGTTGGATCTTGGTAGCTGTATATATGAGTTATAAACATCGTCAAAATCATTTTATGTCACTATAAAATAGGAATATGTTCGAGTTCGTGGTTGCCTTGAGTGACCATCCATGGTCTTTTGCTCGCAAGTGGCTGCACCAAGCGACCAAAAGTGTCCCACACGGGTTGCAACGTATCAGCGTACGAAGATCTCCAGGCAAGATGAAAACATCGTATTCCCATTTCGAGACATGGTCCAATGTTGATTTAGTCCATTCAGTCGTACCAAGGTCACCTTCATAATTAATCAATTTTCATGATCATTAACAAAATAACGAATTTGAGCTACAAAACCGCCATGACCTGGGCTTTGGACTTTAGCCTGTTAAGGGTTCAGTTCAGAGCTATAAATACATAAATGTTTGTACTTTATGTTCAGCAATGACAAATCTAAGAAATTATGAGTGATGAACAAAAATGGAAAGTGTAGTACCAGCCACGGCAAATTTGATGGGAAATTGAGAAGGTCTCTAGTCCGGTTAATTAAAGCCCATACGTTCGAAAATGTAGACCAAATTTACAGAGAAATAGAAACTTTTTTTTTTTTTTGCCAACCAGAGAAATAGAAACTAGGTTTAGACTTTTGTGTGAAAACTAAAGAAATTCCAAAATATAATAAATAAATTCTTCCTAAAATAATCTAACTAAGGCCCAATATTGTTGACAAAAAAGTCCAATTTTCTTGTTCTTTCTAAAATCTGTTGGAACAGATACTGGCCTAAGTCACTCACGAGGACCCAATCTAATTATGTAATGGCTCAATAACAGAATTAAAAATAAATAAGGTAATTGGAAAAGAAATGTGAGTAGTGAGTGAGTACATTGATTTAGAAGTATAATGTACATTTAGCCACTTGGATCAGTTTTCTTGTGTGGGCTCGTATACGATCATGCCCGACCTCTAGAGCAAAGCAGGCAAAACACATGATTCCCTTTTTTTTTTTTTTTTGGCAAAAACTTCCCGCCCTATACAAAATGTTTATTTTTCTGATCTATTTTTCTCCAAAGTTTTCAGTAAATGTTTATTATTTGAAATTGACTTGTCGATGATGGAATTCTTGGAGATTTGAGCCTCTAATCTCGTTATTACCTCTTCTATTTACAATTATTAACTTCCAAGCCCATGGAAATTTCTTTTTGTTTATAACTCAAAAAAATTCAGATCCGACATTATATATGATATATACCCAAAAAAATTAAGGGGAAATGATATATGTATAGAGTATATATATATATATATATATCACTTTTAGTTTTATATATTTATATACCAAAGTATTTTAAAAATAAAAAAGAAAATTATACAATAATTACTAATACTTTAAAAGAACAAAAATATATAATTTTGACACATATGAAAATAAACTTAGGTATAAAAATTATACAATAATTTTTAGTTTAAAATAGATTATTCTAATAAATATTTTAAGAGTTAATTTTATAAGAAAATTATACAATTTTTTCTTTCTCGATTTCGCATCACTAAAGTCATCTCTATATAAATATCTAAAAAATAATAATATTTATGTATGTATTTCTTTTAATTAGTGATTATATAACAATAAGATATGTTTATATTTATTTTAATGATAATTGATGTAATAATATAATGGATTTTATTATATTGATGTTAGTTAGTTTTTTTTTTTTCGGTAAAATGTTAAATTTTATACCAATTTTATGTTTTTGACAGAATACAGAGATACAACAAAGAGAACAGAACGACCAAAACTACAAACAACAATACGAAAACCGAACTAGATACAACCAAGCTCAACACGACAAGAAAATGGAAAGGAAATCAGGAGCAAAACAGAGCCAAGCCGAACGACAAAGCAGCAATCAAACGCAAACGCGCAGACCATCCCGTTTATGCCACAACTCAGAAGAGCTGAAATCCTCATCGTAGTTGCCGCGAGATCCCTTCCAGAGGTCCGCCCTCAAAACCTCACAGAAAGAGATGCTTACAGCTTCTCCGAGAACTGACGCGATCTCCGATTCAGTCAAACAGATCTACTTGCCACCGACAAGAGAGCCAAGAGAACAGAACCGCCGCCTCAACAATAATCGCCTAGCAAAGGCCCACAACATCACCGATCCAATGTCGGAGCCTAACCTATCCAAACCAAGTTACGAGAGCAATGACGATCTAGCCGGGAAGACAAACACAAACCGGAGGTATACTACGGCCACACCGATAGACAGACGCCGCCAGAATACTAGCACCATGGGGAGAGCATCCGACGAGCCACACGCCTAGACCACCGCGAAGAGACACCACCGGCCGAGCCACACAAGCCGAGAGAAGACAAGCGCCAACTCCGAACTAGCCACGGGACGAGCCTCAACACCACAAGCTGACAACAAAAAACCCGTCCTCAAGGATATGTCGCCACCATCGGGAGTTAAGAGCTCCGAGCTACCAAGACCTAAACCACCAACTCAGATCTGAATGGTCTGGGCCAAGGCGAGGCCCGAGCAAGGAGGAGAAGCAAAGCACTACCACACCACCACCGAAGCAAGCCGGAAAGCACACCATCGGCTCGAGAGCTCTAACGGGAAGCCGAACCGCCAAAAGGGAAACACGCCGGGAACGGAGAAAGAGATGCCGGCGAAGAAGAGACGAGGCGACGAAGGAGAGACCACCGACCACTCGAGTAGACGACTCTCCGCCACCGCGGACCCAGCGACGCCGCTGAGCTCGCTCCGCCATCGACAGACCAAACACCGAAGAACTCTAGATCCGCAGAACCGGCTCGACGGCAAAAGAGAACAGAGGAGGAAACAAACGCAGAGAAGAGAGAAGAAGAGGAGGCAGAGGCAGACGCCGGCGTTGAAGAAACCGCCGGCGCCTGAAAAACAGATCTGTGAAAGAAAAAACCAGTCGAAGATGGTTGGGAGAGAAGAAGACGGGCGCGTCCGTCTCACGCGTCAAATGCTATTAAGATAATAATCCTTCCAAAGTCATCTCTATATAAATATCTAAAAAATAATAATATTTATGTATGTATTTCTTTTAATTATCATTAAAAAATAAATAAAACCGAAAAAAAAACTAACTAACATCAACTTGATGTTAGTTAGTTAGCCGAGCCTTCGTATTTTCCAGAGGTTGTGCCGTACACAACAGTCGGCATGACTGAGTCGTTCGTTATCCATGATATTCTCATTTTGTCTGGCCCAACGAGAGATATATGCACCTTGCAATTTGTTTATTATCCCATATTATATGTTCTGTTTTAGACCTGGAAGAAACTGGAAGTAATAACACTGAGACAAGACCTCGTATTTCAAGAAGAATAACCGAAGACGAACACGGCCGTACATTTGAAACGGACGACATCCTTCTACTGTAGTTGGGACAATACATTTAGTTAATTTGTATTTTCGGCAAAAGAAGAATGAGGGCAAATCTTATTTTATCCCAAAAGAAAAAAATAAAATAATATATATATATATATATATTTGTAGATAGACTAATCTACTGTATCATTTTAATTTGTGAGGGGTCAAAATTGACAAAGGAAAAAATAAAATACCACCTTTTTTCTGCTGTAAATTTACAAAACCCTTGTGAATTATAGTGCGAATTATAAAGACTAAGAATCTGTACAGTAGAAGAGGGATGGCTGAAACAAACAGACTTGTATGCGTTGATGAATGAATCAGTCAACAAGGAGCCTTTTGATCAAGGCGTTCCAATTTAAGCAAGGGATCAAGCTTCTAAACCAATCACCGGTTTGATCAGATTTGTTGACAGTTGGGAGTGGATGTTGGCTCATGTATATTCTCACTGAATCTCCCCTCGAAAGTTGTTGCCTTCTCTTTCCATCAAACGAAACCCATGCATTGCTTCGAGCATCATCTGGAATCGGTTTTTGTTTAGAGAAGATTTGTGAGCATTTGAAACAGCAAATATGAAAAAGCCCAAAGGTTTTGATTACGTGGTCTCCAAATATATGAGCGCAGAGAGTTTGGAAAGTGTATTGCTATAAAGATCTAAAGTCTGACCTTCAGTTCAAGCTTAGCAGAATCTGGAAGTATAACTGGCCTGAACGACATGGAATGTGGGCGGATCGGAGTAAACAGCATGCAAGGAACGTTTGGATGCACCTGCAATTTTTTGAATTTTATACATGTCTAATTTGCGAACACTGAAATTTTATTATAAACGGCATGATATTACTCTGAGATGCCAATGAGGTTTATTCTTTTTAGTATGTAATGCAGAGTTAAGTTGGAAAGTTTACCATGGAGCCTCCGGCTGCTGTAGAATAAGCAGTTCTTCCTGTGGGAGTCGGTACTATAACTCGTACCTAAACACACAAAAGCTGTAAAATTTTATCAATGTAGGGGTCATTTTTACAACATGCACTGAGACTCCTCACTTGCTTAAAGATTAAGTAGACTTCGTCTCACGTAAGAAATTAAACCAAATGGGTACAGACCTTGGTGATGAGACGATCGTGTTCATAACATTCAATCTTAGAAAGGTATAGTTGGGTTGATCAACAACACTCTCGTTCAGAACATCAAACACTTTAACAAAGATTTCGCAACATTCGAAGAGTTATATACAACATTCGAAGAGATCAAGCGAGTTATTCCCAAGGATGATGACTCGTTTGAAGTCTTGTCTGAAGTCCTCAAACTAAATGGAAACAAAATAAAAATAATAAGAAGGCTGTCGAAAGAAAAAGAATAGTAAGACATAGTTAAGAAATAGAACATGTCGAAAGGGTTAGTAAAGTGAGAAATCCAAGGGACCCCAAGTTAAAGGAAACAACGGGAGGGACAGCTCCTTTGAACAAGTTTGATGCATGTAATATCAACCCATCCGCTCCTAAGCATGCCACAAAATCAACCCTTCCATGGAGATCGCTGAATTAAAACAAAAGCAAATAAAGTCGATCACAATTGAGCCGTGGATTAGTAGTCTAGCTGATGTCCACTTAACTTATTCTTGTACCTCGTGTCCTGTATGTAAAAGGTCCGGGCAAAGCCAAACCCTGGAATCCTGGCAAATACGTCATGTCACCTCAGGTTCAACCAATACATTCATCTTCTCTTGGTGATACAAGAAAGATGCAGCCTGAAACAAATTCGAAAGAAGAAAAACTTTTCACCGGCTTCCTGAATTACAGGCAACTTCAATACACAAGAGAGAATTTATATAATCTTCTTGAAAGCGTTTACCTCTTTAGCTTCCTCCATGAGTTCTAGCACTAGCTTCTTCAGCAGTAAGACGCGGTTTTTGGGGTAGTTTTCCAAAGAAGCATTTACTGTTGAGTACTTGTATGTGTGAAGGCTAGCGAGGACTCTGTAACCTTTTCCCTAGTACAAGAGACTCCATCAGTTGGGACTAAGAACATCTCTGCTTTCTTTCTCGACTGCACCCTTACTACACCAGTGGCAGAAGCACACATATTTCCCTCAATAGCCCCAGCCCGACGAAGAAGTACTATTGTTTCTCTGAGACTCTCGAGCAGGTTTTGAAACTACAGTGCGACTTAAGATATCACTTGGAGGCACAACAATAGGCTCTTCAGAGAAGCCATTTCCCCTATTACCCGATGTACATGTACTTGTATTGGTGTCATCAGAAGCATGCACATTTCCATTTGAAAACTTCCCATAGCCAAAATCTAAACTTTGAGCGTTGGAGTTTCCTGTCTCCGCAAGTCCTCTTACAGAATCAGCAATCTGAATACTATAATATTCAATCCAACCTTAGTTTCAGAAACCACCTGACGCCTGATCAATTGCGCCTGATCATGAGATACTAAAGCCAAAAATCAAATTGAAATTTACTAGAACGTTAGCTTTGGTAGGTAGTGACAAGAACAGAAAATCCACCTTATAGTTGAATTCGCCTCAATTTGAGAATCTAAAAACAGAATTCAAGCAATACGCTGAATAAGAAGGGAAGTCTCTGAATCCGAGAAAAGGAAGACGAAAACAGAAGCAGGGGAAGAGAGTGATACATACGTTTGTTACCGTACTCCTCGTCGTCCACCACAACAAAAGGAGTTGTGATTTCTGATTTCTCACACTTGAGTTGAATTTTTTGTTCTTTTTATAACAAAAAAGGGAAATAGCCTGATTTGCAGATTCGATTATGAGATCTCATGACGACTGGAATGTACAGAAACTTTATAGGAGTTGAAAGGGATAAGAAGAAGCAAACTACTTGGACCAAAAACTTTATGAAATCAAATTAAGCGTTTTGGAGTTGCAACAACCGAAAAACAAACAGCAAATACCAAAAAGGAACCGAGGATGATTAAAGATAATAGTCCAAATGCAACAGAGGATGATAAAAGTCCAAAAGCAACCGAGAATGATAGAAGTCCAAACGCGTAACACAGAAGCAGACAGCAACAGAGAATGATAAAAGGTCCAAACGCTACACAGGAGCAAGACAGACAGAAAGTTAACGACTAGAGAATCGGAGTCTCTTCTGCCAGTCTGGGCCCCGCTGTTCTTCTTCTGCTGATACGTCTTCCCAAGGCAGTGAGATAACATTTGGGCCAAATACGGTTTTCTCGAAATCAATCATGAAAACATTGTGACCCCGATATGTCAAGCTATCAAGGATAGAACGTCCAAAACTCTGTTTGGAAATTATAAGCAAATTAGGACCGCCTGGATTGAGATTGGAATTGTCGCCAGGATTGTCAATTGTCCACAGAAGAATGTCCATTTTCAACTGAGCCAATCTTGCAAAGTTGTCTGATGGAGCTTTGCGTACCGTGATTGCATCCTCGTCATACTCAAATTCCTCCCCCTTGACAACATAGGCGTAGATTGAGTGGTTACCACAAGGAAGATGAGAACCAAGAGCTGATCTGATATTATCAGAAAACGTAGAGAGTTGGAGACCCTGAGGAAGTGGGTAATCATGGACGTCCCAGAAGACGCATGTATCAACATTCTGGAACCTGGGGAATTTCTCCATGGTATATGAAGGAGGAGGCTCTATAAAAGCAATATCATCAACTTGTTCCCCAGACCCTTGCTCAAGCAGATGTGGACAAATCCATACAGGGATTCTCCCCTCCACATCGTTTTGCTCCCGGAATACATTGGAGGAGCCAATGAATGAAGGAATGTCAGGCACTGCAAACATAACTCGGCGGCCTCTGCTTCTCAAAGAAGATGCAACCGAAGAGATCATCTCCCAGTCTTCTTCTTCCAATCTTGTGAAGATCAAGAATCTGCACTCGCGAAGAGTATCACTTGAAGCCTTCAAAACGAGTTCCACCAACATCAAATAAAGTATCTCCTCTGCACTTCTTGATCTGCGAATTCCGTAGTATCCGTCATAGATCTGATATCGAATCAACACCTCACTCGTGAAGACATCCTGATGACCAAAACCCACAAAACGGGGATTGCAAAAACGACGCTTTGAAAGAGAATCAGAGACAGACCCAAACAACGATATAGGGTTCTTATAGTTACTGGGGAGCCAACGGTGGGCGTTCCACAAGATGTTTGTCCTATACTCTGCCAAAAAAAAAAAATCAATTAAACAAATCATCTACATCGACGATATCAACTGAAGGATAGAGAGAGAGAGAGAGAGAAAGAGATCGATTTCTCGATTTCTTACCGCTCAAGGATCTATCGCGCGTGCCCATGGTTCCGACGTAGTGGAAAATCGAGAGGCGAGAGGAGAGGAAACACCGAATAAAAGAGCAACAAACAAATAAATTAGGGCTACACACATCTGTGGCTGCCGGCTGCCGATGCGATGAGATATAACCTAATTTATCTGTTAAGCCCATACCTTAAAGGAATTTTGAGTTGGGCTTGAGTTGAGCTATAATTACGTTTGTGACGGGCATAAGTTATTCCTGTCCCGTCTCATACCCGTTCCCATTTTCATTTTCAATGATATAAGTTTTCAATTCATATGAAATTTTCATTTTGTCGAAAAATGATAAGGATCTGAAAGAAAACAACCAAGAAAAATCATAATGTCTTTATTAATCTATTAAACAGAACATTGTTGTCTCCTATTTTGATACTGTTGTCAATACTCAAAACACTAAATATTTCGATTTCTTCGATTCATCACTGATAATTAACATATAATCATCACTGATAATTAACATGTAATCAATGAGGAGGCGCATATCATTTGAAAGACGAACCGAGACGGTCTAAACCCGATCGACAAGATGAATCGGCTGAAAGACTGGTTAACCAAACCGAATCCTTTTGTACCGACACATCATCATCGTTCCTCTTCCATTTCCATTGTGCATGAGTCGCATTCACCACCACCAATTGACCATGCCCGAAACTTGCTTCTCTAAACAATGATATTGCTGGAGTTGGATCTTGGTAGCTGTATATATGAGTTATAAACATCGTCAAAATCATTTTATGTCACTATAAAATAGGAATATGTTCGAGTTCGTGGTTGCCTTGAGTGACCATCCATGGTCTTTTGCTCGCAAGTGGCTGCACCAAACGACCAAAAGTGTCCCACACGGGTTGCAACGTATCAGCGTACAACAGATCTCCAGGCAAGATGAAAACATCGTATTCCCATTTCGAGACATGGTCCAAATGTTGATTTAGTCCATTCAGTCGTACCAAGGTCACCTTCATAATTAATCAATTTTCATGATCATTAACAAAATAACGAATTTGAGCTACAAAACCGCCATGACCTGGGCTTTGGACTTTAGCTTGTTAAGGGTTCAGTTCAGAGCTATAAATACATAAATGTTTGTACTTTATGTTCAGCAATGACAAATCTAAAAAATTATGAGTGATGAACAAAAATGGAAAGTGTATTACCAGCCACGGCAAATTTGATGGGGAATTGAGAAGGTCTCTAGTCCGGTTAATTAAAGCCCATGCGTTCGAAAATGTAGACCAAATTTACAGAGAAATAGAAATTTTTTTTTTTTTTTTTTGCCAACCAGAGAAATAGAAACTAGGTTTAGACTTTTGTAAGAAAACTAAAGAAATTCCAAAATATAATAAATAAATTCTTCTTAAAATAATCTAACTAAGGCCCAATATTGTTGACAAAAAAGTCCAATTTTCTTGTTCTTTCTAAAATCTGTTGGAACAGATACTGGCCTAAGTCACTCACGAGGACTCAATCTAATTATGTAATGGCTCAATAACAGAATTAAAAATAAATAAGGTAATTGGAAAAGAAATGTGAGTAGTGAGTGAGTACATTGATTTAGAAGTATAATGTACATTTAGCCACTTGGATCAGTTTTCTTGTGTGGGCTCGTATACGATCATGCCCGACCTCTAGAGCAAAGCAGGCAAAACACATGATTCCCTTTTTTTTTTTTTGCAAAAACTTCCCGCCCTATACAAAATGTTCATTTTTCTGGTCTATTTTTCTCCAAAGTTTTCAGTAATTCAGATGTTTATTATTTGAAATTGATTTGTCGAGGATGGAATTCTTGGAGATTTGAGCTTCTAATCTCGTTATTACCTCTTCTATTTACAATTATTAACTTCTAAGCCCATAGAAATTTCTTTTTGTTTATAACTCAAAAAAATTCAGATCCGACATTATATATGATATATACCAAAACAAATTAAGGGGAAATGATATATGTATAGAGTATATATATCACTTTTAGTTTTATATATTTATATACCAAAGTATTTTAAAAATAAAAAAGAAAATTATACAATAATTACTAATACTTTAAAAGAACAAAAATATATAATTTTGACACACATGAAAATAAAACTTAGGTATAAAAATTATACAATAATTTTTAATTTAAAATAGATTATTCTAATAAATATTTTAAGAGTTAATTTTATAAGAAAATTATACAATTTTTTCTTTCTCGATTTCACATCACTAAAGTCATCTCTATATAAATATCTAAAAAATAATAATATTTATGTATGTATTTATTTTAATTAGTGATTATATAACAATAAGATATGTTTATATTTATTTTAATGATAATTGATGTAATAATATAATGGATTTTATTATATTGATGTTAGTTAGTATTATGTTGACTATTATTATGGTCAGTAATCTTAATTACCATTATTAGAATTGTTGGTCGTAATTAAAAATTCTAGTATTTATAAAAATATAGAAAAATCAAGTCTTGGCGCTATGGTAATATAATGCGTAGTCCTTAGGGAAAGAGAATTTTCCAAACATATTCTTTTTCAGAAATGTTGCATAAGTGTTTTCCGAAACTTCTGATGTTGTTTTGATGTAGTTCAGTTTTGACATTTGGACATATGGCTTTGCATTTCTCATGAGATTAAAAATAGCATTTTAGTTTTTATGATTAAAAGTCAGTTTACTAATTTAAAGTCGTCGTAGTTAGTCAAATATGAAGATCCTGTAAACAATCAATTCAAGAAAAGGCAAACTTACACGTATGTACCTAAAAGCAAAACATAATAGCAATACGCTAAAACGTTCGCTTAATTATAGATACGCCATGTGAAAAGCATTAACTATTGGCCCTGAGATTAACCCGGCCAAAATCTCGAATATTATTCTAGAGAAGGTTAACCAAAAGGCAAGTATACGTCAATGATCCAATATTCCAAAGGGTTGAACTAGTCTACGTTGGTTAATTTGTTCACCACCGACGCACAATTGAACGTTTCAAAGTATCCCTTTTCTCCTTTAAACAATTAAGGTCCTTTTCAAACGACAAACAAATATGAAACAACTTTTGCCGTGATGTTGGGGTTTATTTTGTTTAAAAGCTAGTTTAAATTGTCTTGGTAATAGCGTTAGCTTTGTTTAACTTCGACTTAGTGACACTTCCGCTAGTTCAACAAAAATGATTGAATGAAACTAATATGGGTAGTGATGATTTTGATCATTAGATAATGATCAAGCTGTCGAATATTCCATAAATATCAATACATATATATATATATATATATATATATATATAAACAAGTTGTCATTCATAATTTTCTTGATACTTTGTTAGTCATCCAAAAATTAAAAAGAAAAAGAAAAAAAAAATAATATATATATAATTTGTCCCTATATTATGTTAGGCAGAAACTTCTTAGACATATAGGTAAACTCAAAGCATTTTGCATACAGTATCTAAAGTTTTAAATTTATTTTTAACATTTCGAAGAACTTTATTTCATGAACTGAAAAAAAGGAATGATCTTGACAATCTCGTTCACTCTATCTTGAGTTTGAGATAGCCTTTGATTATTTATCGTCCTCGGGTAATTCATCTAGTTATGTCTTGCACAGTTGCATGTGATTTATTTATTTATTTGGAATCAATGTTTTGAAATTCATAAATATAACTACGCCAAAATAAAAATCATGTTGGTAACCTAAGGGATCAGTCTAAACTTTAGTTTCGTTAGCAAATCTCTCTTGAACACTCTTGAACTACACCACAAAGAAAATCAAATTAAAGGATGTAATGACCAGAGCAGTTATCTACCTTTGGGAAGGGACAACACCATAAAAGGGTAACTGGCTGTAACAGCCCCCAATGGCCTTTACAATTATGTACAATCTTATTCGATACGCTCATTGACTTCTTATTTGGCCAGATGCTTGACCTTGTCGTATGTTTTACACCAATATCATAATCAACAATTATAAAATTAAGTTTTTGTTTTTCTTAAGTTACCTTTACGTACATGTTAGTGAAATTTCATATATGTTTGATAGAAATAATAAAACTAACTCACATTTAAAACTGTATGTACGTCGCTGTGTTAAGGATTTCAATATCCTCATATATTTCATAATAAAATGACGTCGCTATCACTGTCATGGAATAATGACTAGCTCGCTTTCGTCATCGATCAAGATTTTAAATATGCGTGTTTGGTTCTCTAAATAATAGTTTTTAGTGACTTATTCAAAGTCAATATACAGCTTTCGAAGACTTACCCAATTAAATAAAGGGCAATCTATCAAATATGCCTTCACACATGTGTATATATAATAATACATATTAGCAGGTTGTGTGGGTATCCTCTATATACTATGTGCCCTTTATCTGTAAACATTTGATAAACCCAAAATAATGGAAACTAAAATGGTTTCAAAAGCCAAAAGGCTTCACTTTATTTTGATCCCTCTCATGGCTCAAGGGCATCTAATCCCCATGGTTGATATCTCCAAGATTCTTGCGCGAGAAGGGAATATCGTTACCATAGTTTCAACTCCTCAAAATGCTTCTAGGTTTGAGAAGACAGTTGAGCGCGCAAAATCGGAGTCGGGTCTCCAAATTAACGTGGTGAAATTTCCAATTGCCTACAAAGAATTTGATCTTCCCGAAAATTGTGAGTCTCTCGACACTCTGCCCTCTAAAGATCTCTTACGGAAATTCTATGACGCTGTGGATAAGCTCCAGGAGCCCTTGGAAAGGTTTCTTGACCAGCAAGAAATCTCTCCAAGTTGCATAAACTCCGATAAATGCCTTTTTGGACGTCAAAAACCGCGAAAAGTTTCAAGATCCCAAGGATTGTGTTCCACGGAATGTGCTGTTTCTCTCTTTTAAGTTCTCACAACGTCCATCTTCATAGCCCGCACCTCTCGGTTTCTTCAGACACAGAGCCTTTTTCTATACCAGCAATGCCACATAGGATCGAGATAGCTAGATCTCAGTTACCGGGTGCGTTTCAGAAGTTAGAAAATATGGATGACGTTCGTGAGAAGATGCGTGAAGCTGAATCAGAAGCCTTTGGGGTTATTGTTAATAGCTTCCAAGAATTGGAACCTGGCTATGCAGAGGCCTACGCTGAGGCCATCAAGAAGAAGGTATGGTTCGTTGGACCCGTTTCTTTATGCAATGATCGTATGGTAGACTTATTTGACAGAGGAAACAACTGTAACATTGCGATTAGCGAGACCGAATGCTTGAAGTTTCTGGATTCGATGAGACCAAGGTCTATCTTATATGTTTGTCTAGGTAGCCTCTGTCGACTAATACCTAATCAATTGATAGAACTAGGGTTAGGGTTAGAAGAATCTGGAAATCCCTTTATTTGGATGATCAAGACCGAGGAAAAACACATGAATGTGCTAAATGAATGGCTAAAACGTGAAATGTTCGAAGAGAGAATTAGAGGTAGAGGGATAGTAATAAGGGGTTGGAGTCCTCAGGCTATGATACTCTCACATGGCTCGACCGGAGGGTTCTTGACTCATTGCGGTTGGAACTCGGCGATCGAAGGGATATGTTTTGGTGTACCAATGATCACATGGCCGTAATTCGCTGAACAGTTTCTCAATGAGAAACTCGTCGTGGAGGTATTGAAGGTTGGGGTTAGGATTGGGGTGGAGATTCCGGTGAGATGGGGAGACGAGGAAAGACTTGGAGTATTGGTCAAGAAACATAGTGTTGTGAAAGCTATAAAGGTTTTGATGGACGAAGATTGCCAACGCGGAAATGAAGATGATGGTAAAGATGGTGAATTCTTGAGACGAAGAATACACATTCAAGAACTTGCAGTAGTGGCGAGAAAGGCTGTCGAATTGAAAGGATCTTCAAGTACTAACGTTTCATTCTTAATCCAAGATGTTTTAGAGAAATTGAGTGTCGATAGAAAAGTCTAATGTACTATAAGCTAATGTAAAAGACAATCTTAAACTCGTTTAAAACAAGGAAAACTGCAAGTTTGCCATCATGAAAATGCTTTTTAGCGTATTCTTGTTCTGCACTTCTGCTAGCAAAACAAATGTATCAAACAAACGTATTCATTTGAGATTTAGAGATCAGATCATCAAAGAGGTCTATGATAATACTGAAGCTTTCAAAAATCTAAGTTGCATACATATTGATGAAAATGTATTCATTAGAGATAAAATGGTCTATGATAACTTCAAAAGTTCAAAGCTTTTAGAACTGTAAGAGGATAAATGCTTTAACATTACTTCTGAAACTCTAAGATGGTGTAGAAGTAATCAATGTAGAAAGGTCGAAAAGAAGGGAATCCAGCAGAGAGACCAAGCTCTTTAAACTCTTCTTCGGTCCTATGCTTACCTTTGGTCCTATAGATTGTCATGACAAAGATGTTGCCTTCTAGCAAGGCACGGGTTCGGTGGCTATCATCGGTTTCCTTAGGCAAGACTGGCTCACAAGCGATTAGCTTTCCTCCAACTGGTAAAGCATTGTAGCAATTTTTCATTATTTGCTTGCATTCTTCATCCGTCCATGTCGTTAACACCCACTGTGCATTCAGACAACACAACATTACAAGATATTAATTGGGACAGATATGCAAAGAATATGTAACCATTTCTATTGTTCTATCTATAAACATCAGATTTTTTTTTATTATCCATATGGTTCTAGCAAATGCATAGCTTCAACAATTACAGTTGTATCGTATAACGGTATACAAGATATTAATTGGGACAGATGCAAAAAATATGTAACCGTTTGTATTGTTCAATCTATAAACATCAGATTTTTTTTAACCATATGGTTCTATTTCTAGCAAATGCATTGCTTTCAAAAATTAGAGCTGTATATTAGATTCCAATATGAGATATGCATAGTGCATATGCAAATGTCGAATTTATGTAATCAGTCTACAACAATGAAAATATCACAAAAGAAAAGTGACCAGTCACATGATCATTAGCCTATATTACCAGGTCCACACATAACTCTAAGTCTCTAATTTGTCTGTAGCGACTTATGTACCGGACCTAAACTAAGAATTTTCGTGATCAACCTATCAATAAACTCCGAAACTATTTATATAAATTAAAATCCGTCCTATTAACAAAAGAAGTCAGTATTCACGTGACCACAATGGTACCACGAACCTTCATGAAGATTGCGTCACCACTAGGAACTGACAGGAACATATCTCCACCCACGTGAGTCACTCCTAACTCAGACAATATCAACAATATCAACAATTTCAACACATTAATTAAAGAACTGAAAATATCATAACGCTTTCCAAAAATAACGTCTTCCAATTTTTTTTTTTAAATGATAAAAATAAAAGCAATATTATTTTCACCAGGAATCTTGGGGGCTTTCGCAACAACTTCAGGCAAATCAAAGTTAATCCCTTCACGGACGTTAGGAAACTGCTTAAGGATCATACGGAGACAATCTCCTGCGCTCCCTCCCACGTCAACTAAATGCTCCACGGATTTAAAACCATCGTAGCCGTCCAATATCGCCTTCATGAACGGCACTGATACTCCGGACATTGCCTTCTGCATAAGACCGTTCATCTCTTCACATTTTCCGTACTGAACGTACGCCGCCTCCCCGTTTGCTTTCACGTACGGCTCCGTCTCCGGTTCCACCACCGCCGTGTGAACCAGTGGCCATGCTCGCATCAACGACTCCTGATGGTGTTGGAGGACGTAAGCGGCGTAGGAGAGTCCCCCGGAGTCGGTTACGAGCGTTTTTCCAACGTTCGTGAGAGAGTATTTCCTCTCCACGGATCCGGCGTCGCCGTTGAGGTGTTCAGAGAAGACGCCGTAGCTTGTGAGCATACGAAGTATACGCTGGAGATTCTCGGGATCGCCACCGATGGTACTGTCTCGGGATGGGAGAAGGAGGCGAGGGAGGATCTCAGAGGCGGAGAGAGGAGAGTTGGCTCCGGAGTTCCAGATAGCGTCGGCGATGCCTAATCTCACGGCGGCGTTGAGTGACATCGGAACGCTGATCATGTTAGCGAGCTCCATGATGGCAAGGCGAGCTTTGTTTCTACTCTCGGAGCTTTCATCTTCCATTTCTTCGACTCTCTGGTACGTGAATGAGAGAGACTCCACTAACTAAGGAATTAGTAAAGGTACATGTATATATGGTTATTGAAATGGAATAATGCTCTATGACTGTATCCCTAAAATGTTTTTAATACTACGAACTATAGTTTCTTTTTCTCTCTGTATTTTGATATATCTACTTTGATATATTTTAAGTATTTATAAATAAAAACTTATGCATAAGAATATAATATCAGTATATTATATTTTGTCCACTCATATTTGTCTATACTTTTATTCAAAATTTATCAATTGAAAATACCATATTTTATCCATTAAAACATGTCTATGATATGATAACTTTATTTTGTAAAGATAATATATATAGATGATTCCGTGTGGATATCAACACAATCATGAATTTGCACATTCCAGATTAATAATCATTTTCAATGATATTTAGCAATTTCGTAGATACATAATCGTGAATAACCATCTAGTTACGAACTATAAAAACACATAGATGTGGACATGCATCCATGCATACGAAAGAATGTTACATTAAATTCGACATACGACGTCTATAACATATAGTGAACATAAATCCTTTGACACACAAAATAAAATCCTCATATCTATGTCAATATCATCATTTTCTCGGAAATAACAAAGTTCCTTAAATTGTAAAAATGGTAAAGCAAATTCAAAAAATCACCTAAAATGTAAAATTAGTTTTTAAAGAAAATGTTACACATGAAAATAGTGAGATAACAACCACAATACCACTGTTCATTATCTTCGACTTCGAGACAAAGAATCTCTCAGGGTACAAACATAAGATATGAAATAATTGAGCTGTTTTTGTTTTTATCTAACTCCTCCACTTTATGTTTGTCATTATTTGTGGGCTGATTTTGTGTTTTGTCGTTCTTGGTACATTATTTTGGCACCAAAAAATAAATGAAGTTCTTAATTTCAAGACCCATAAAAGTGATTCATATAATTTCGGTGTCACGATAATGTTATTGTACGAGTGAGGACTTGCTATTAGGATGAATTCATGTTTTTGGTGAATTAGGTTAGAAACGTTAAAACAACATTCTTTTTTTAGCATGATCTATTGATCGGAGTAGCTTTTGCTTAAGAAAAATGCTACAAAGGGTCTGATGCGAATAATTAGATAACAACTAGAGGTGAGCCCACGCCCTACGCGGACCAGCATTAATGTTACATCTCGATAATTATAAATTTAAATTATAATGGTTATTATAAATTTAATCTATAGAATCCTGAAGTTCAGTTCATCATAGTATAATGCGTTACATAATAGTTCTTAGCACTTGTACTTGGACCGAGCCCAAAATCACCAATGATACTATTCGTAAGCCCAAATCGCAATGATACTAAGAGACGTCCTTCCGTATTTGTGCATGTAGCTTTTGTTTACAAATGCAAGAACACGTGCAAGCTATCAAGTTACGAAACATGCAAACGTAGGATCAATAAAATAGGTCGAAAGGCTCCTTCACCAAAATCAACCAAATAAATTTTTTTTTATTATTATTTCTTATCGAAAATTGACACTCTTTAAAATCACGCAATGCTTAGACCATACATAGGAAAATGCTATAACCAAACTTAAAAGACCAAAACTTAAGAAAACCGAACATCTCTAGAGCAAATATGCTTAACCAACTCACCAAAGTCTAGTCTCTGGATACCTCATGACACAAAATAAATTATAAAAAATCCCTAAATGACTCGACCAAAAACAATTGTTGCAAAGCTGACAGTTTTCTATGCCGTTACGGAACCAAAAATACCAAGATACGTGAGGAGCACCCATAATCTCCAGTAGTACAGATTCTAGAAACTCGCTCCTCTTTGTAGCTAAATCATGCAGTAAATGAATACGCCCCATCCGATGGACCAAGATAGTAGAGCTCATACGCTGGATAAATTCTTTAGTGATATGGGATAAGCAAACACCGTCATCGTGCAATGCCCTACGAAGCATAACGTACGTATACAAATCCACCATCCGCAGCCAGTTTGATCCCGTAGAGACCCTCATCCCGTCCGGAGACACACAAGTCATCATGAGTCTAAAATACATTTTTCTATCACACGGGACCATGGATCCATTGCTCGAAGGATCCATCAAAAGTGGATCTCTGAAAGAAAACATGACACGGTCTGTCTGTTAAGGTTTTGGGTTTTTGAAAAAGAGATAGGTATGCTACCTACTGCTCTAAACTTTATAGTGGTCTGGATCTTAGTTCCCTTGAGTTACAAAGACTGAATTTCAGATGAAAACAAACCGAACTACTCAAAAGAAAAGAAATGAAACAGAACACTTTCATGCTCATCGACGAATATAAAGTGAAGCACATCTTCACCAGTACAGATCTGACAAAACCATTTTTGGTGAATCTTAACATGGATTTTCCAATCGGTCCTCCACTGTCCTATAGCCCGGATTGTAGAAGGTGGAGCCAGTAACACGGCTCGTGAAAATATTATTTCTTATGGCAGTAAACAACCTGCTCTTTATAGCTGAGAAAAAAACTCCAATAGTATAATTGAAAGTGCGATATATATTTTTTCGTGCAAATATTATATTTACGATCCAATTACCTATTTATATTTTTGGACAAAAAGTTGATTCAGTTCTTATGTCTGGACACGGTTAAGTAATGTCTCCTTTTGTCTATTCACACGTTTTTCAAATATACAATAAGCACTCGAGCTTTTTTGGAAACCGCAGCCGAAATGACCGAACAAATAAAAGTGCTACAGGCGAATCTATCCCATCACAAATTATAACTATCATCCATCTCAAATTGAATTTTCTCTATAAACTACAAATCACTAATGCCGTGATTTCTTTAAAAACTACAAACTACAAATTTATTTGACAACAATCTATAGTACTAATGCCGTGCTTTCATTAAAAAG